GAGTTTCACACCTGTATATTACTTAGTCTACCCCAATCCTTTGCAAACCAAAAGACTATGCTTGAGTCTATTGCAAAAGTGGATTTAGATTATACAATTGCTCATTTGAGAGAGACTGGCTAGTGTGAAAAACTAAGTACACCTTATGATTCAATAGCTTGTAGAACCACCTTTGGCAGCAATAACTTGAAGTAATTGTTTTCTGTATGAAATAATAATTCAAGTTGGGGGCCTTGCCCCCGCACTGTACATTTAAAAAAGGAGAAAGGCTTTGATCCAAGGAGTGCAGCCCCCATCTTCAGGTTTTTTACACCCCCTTCACCTGCCCATGGGCTTCCCTGCAGGATGGATGGGTGGATGGCAATAGATTAGTTCACCTGTAGAATTAGGAAGCTCCTCTGCATACGTTGGGCGGCTCTTCACCTGAAGAAGTGGCCATCCAGGCTTTGTCTCCATGCACAAAGGATTGCTCCTAAATCAGGCTAATTTATTATTCCATTTCTATTTATAATTGAGGAGGGATGAGCCCTCCTCACGGTGGCTTTGCATTGGCAATGTTCTCTCTCCCCCCACCCCTTAGCAATTGAAAAAAAAACTGCCTGGGGAGGTGTTTGACAGCAGCTTCATTTGCACAAATGGCTTAGGATCACCTGCTAATGGCCGTAGGGCCAATTGCTATTAAGGACTCTCTGGAACAAGGAAGCTTTTTTTTAAAAAATGGCAGCACTCCTGAGGACTGGCGTTTTCAGGAGTGTTTGGCAGGAAATGCCAGGCCCCGCTCATTTAAAAAACACCTTGTTTACACAGAATTGTTCGTGGCCAGTTGAATTTGCTACAGTGCCACAAACGTGCAGCTTAGTTTAACACCTTTGACAAATACCAGGAGCCAAGAATAAACAAGAAGATAGCGCTGCTCCAGGATGGGGGGGGGAGTCACAAGTAGGAGTGTTTAAAAGAGCACAATCCGTAAGGAGGAGGAGCGACTGTCTGCAGTATTTGACCCCAATCAAAGATCTTTCTGAAGGGCAGTTGGAAAAGTCTTGATGCTAAGAATGGCCCCTAGAGGGCAGCAGAGACTAAAAAGACGGTGCGGGTTTGAACTTCGCGCATCGCCCCACTTGCTCCTCCCTGCCCCACAAACGGGCCTGGCAACCCTGTGATGCGGCGTCATCCCTTCCCATGGTTCTCCCCCAGGAAGACCGCAGCAGCAGTAAAACCAGGGAGAAACACAGCTGGCTCTGCAGAACCAGCTTGCAGTTTTGCAGCTGGAATAGCCGGTTGGTCCTTGACCGGCAGTCCCAGTCCGACAACTAATCTTGGCTACTACTGGGTGTATCCGTGGGGCACCGCCTTCTTAAGGGAGTTTGCCACAGAAGGGCTCGAGACCGTTGAAAAAGGAGTTATGCCAGTAACCGGAGATTTTTAAAAGCAGCAGTGAACAATCCCATCCGTAGAGCGCTGATGAACATCCATTGAAGCGAAATAGCAGAGCCAAGTTTCTACGGCCATTTAAACTGTTTCAGGACGTTTTGGAGTTGGGGGGGACTTTACAACTGGATGCGAAATAGTGATATTTTCTAGAGGTTGAGTCTGGCACAAATGTTTGCGTGCAATGCACATTAAAAGAGGTAGGGCTTTAATAACCCAGTTGCAGCCACCATTTTAATCGTTTTGACACCCAGCAGTTGCCCTTGCTTCTGGGTTTATTAAAATCCACTTTTTTTTTTCCAAAATCAGTGAATGACAGCTCAGTTTCAGTTTCCTTTAAAATCAAGCACTCCAAGATTGCAAGGTCTGTCGCTCTCAATATTTCTGCTATTTCAACTTCCTGAATTAAATGTTCCCTGTAGGTTAGCATCAAATCAAGGGCCACTGACCCTCCCGTGTCTTCCGGAAGGATAAAGTTGTGAACAACAGAACCAGGAATTTCCTGGAAGGACCATGCTTGGCAGAGCGTGTCTCCCAGCAGATGGGGAGGCAATTAAAGTTCCCCATCACGAGGGCTTTGTGTTTCTAAAAGAAACGCATCGGCTGTTGGAAGGCAGCGTCTTCTCCATGGCTGGGAGGGTGATACTAAACACAAACAATGGTATTGTTTTCTTCATTCCTCCACTTACTTGAATCCAGATGTTCTCCACCGCAATCCCAAGTTCCTTGATTTGGATTTCTGAGCAGGAGCAGATATTTTTAACACACAGCACAGCACTTTCTACTCTTTTGCTCCTTTCAATAGAATACATTGCTATCTTCCATTATGGAGTATTCCTACCAGGTCTCTGTTAAATCACATTTGCTTTTCTGTACTTCCCGGCTCATGTTGTGGACTTCCTATATTTAGGGTACAGACAGTGAAGGCCATGAACTTCATGAGCCCCCGTTCTTCCTGTCTTTCGCTGAGTAGTTTCAGAGACCCTTTTATTCCAGGACGACTCCTGATCAGTGGCTGAAACTGACAATTTACAGTAAACCCCCCACTGATTTCAAGGAGATTCAAGCATGACTGATTTATCAGGGATCCACGCGAAGGAATAGTTGTAATTTTTCTCCAGCCTTAAGCCTGCCTGTCCTCTGGATCCTTGAAGATGCTAATTCTCCATCCACCACTGTGTCACAAGATTAGTCTGCGACTCATGTGAGTCCAGAGCACCCAGCCAAATGGATGTTATCTGTTGCATTCCTACATTATTTCCTTGGCCTTATCTGTTCCCGGTAAGCCTAGATTTAAGGATAAGGAGAATTATCAGATAATTGGTTCATGCAATGAGTTTGATTGGATTCTTCAGTCATGCCTGAGGAAAGACCCACTCTCTCTCCACATCTAGGCAAAGCATTCTCCAAGGATCATGATGCCAGCTTTGCCTCCTTATTGCCCGAGAAGCACCCAGGGGCAGACTCATGCAGGGCTAAAAGTCTGTATGAACTCATCATCCTGGAAGAGAGTTTTCAGACATAGGGTGGAATGTGTTTAACTCTGGAAAAAATTGAAACCTCATGGTAACAATTTAATAGAAGGGAGGGCCTTTTCTCTGTTTAATTAGAATGACCATGACCTATAATCCAGTCATATATTCAAGTTGTCTGGTTTTGTTGCATGTGCTTATCTGCTTCAAAAGGAGCTCCAAGAATGAGTAATTATACTTTCCTAGTAATTTAAGTCAGACATAGGTATCCTGCCTTTCCACTAAAAACCTTCAAAGCGTCACATCTTTTTGCTAAGCCCCAGCATTTAGTTGTTCGTTACCTCCAAACAATGTCCAATGACATTATTATGATTAGGTTTCATAAAACGTGATTCTCGGTTCCTAATTAGCTTAAAGCAGTGTTGTCCAAACTTGGCCACTTTAAGATGAGTGGACTTCAACTCCCAGAATTCCCCAGGCATATATTGTCCAGGCAGTCACCGGGGGTCGAAGGCCCACGTGCGTACCCGCAAACCCCATCGCCACATATTGCCCAGCCTCGCTTTGCCCCCTCTCCCAAGGTCTTGCCCGCATACCATTACACTCATCACTATATATTGTCCCATGACTGCCTGGCTGGGGAATTCTGGGAGTTGAAGTCCACTCATCTTAAAGTGGCCAAGTTTGGACAACACTGCGTTAAGCCAACTGACTTCAGACTGAGCACAGGGGAGAAGTGCCCAAGATCTGCCAGACTGCAGGAAAGAGAGTTTGAGGGTGTGAGTTTGCTTCTATTTGCATTATCTCCAGAAGCTCTGAGCTGAACCTGGGGGAACAAAGGGGGCCTGCGATGGGCGCATTTCCTAAGAAAGGGGCTGGAGATAACCCTTTTGTTGTTGCTGCACACAGGAAGACCAATATTGGGATAGAAGAAGCCAGCAAGGGGATCTGAATACTTGAAGGCCTTTGGAATTCTGGAATTCCAGTTTAGAGCTTACATATGAAAGGGCAGACATTTCCCCCTGTATGGTCACAGTTACCGCCAAATCCAGGGGCTGGAATAAATACATAGAAAATTAGATAGAGCTATCATGATTTGGCTTACATATGGTAAGTTCTTTGCCCTAAAACATTCTTTAGGAACAGATTCACTACAGTGAAGTTCCAGGAGCAGGAGGATCCACCTCTGAACGCAACCAGTAGAGATGCTGACTTTTATTATGCAACTATTTTCCTGACTGCCCCACGGAGGTGGCCTATGGACCCATGACTTAATTACACCGGCATTAGTTCTGACATAAGAACAAACTAATCATAGGGGGATGGGGCTTCATCTTTGACCCAGTACTTGATGCAGGCCTCCAGTTTTCATCCCTGTGGAAAGGTGAGAAATTGTTTGGCAATGCAAGAGGGGTTGGAAACGAGTGAAAATGGTTTGCCTAA